ACTAATGACTGAAAGGGGCTTTTCACTTTCTACTCAAATAGTACCGTTTGCCACGGATTGATTCCGATCAGTCATTAGTTAGACATTTCATTGGAAATCTTTGATAAGCTCAGGATGGGATGGAATTTCCTATGAGTTTTTCCAGAAGAGCCAGATGCAAGGTCAGTTTTAAGATTCTCCAAATCTTAGAGGAATTATAAAGGTAGGCTTCCAAATCTGAGTTGTTTAAACTGGAGAAAGAAAGATTGAGATCGATCTCACAGAATCACTCAACATCCTACAGGAAACCAGTAAGTTGAAATCTGAGAAGCTGTTTGTCGTAAAACTGTAAGAAATAGGAGTAGCAGTAAATGATGTAGCTTGTTGCACTTCTCCGCCTTGCAATATGATCATGGTTGATCTGAATGTAATCTTAAATCCATTTTTCTGTATGTCCCCATAACACTTGCTTAGAAATCTGTTTAACTCAGTGACCCAGCCTCCAAAGCTCTCTGTGAAAGAGAATTTCAGGGACTAATGACCCATTTGAAGAAGAAATTTCTCCCCAACTCTGAGACTCCTGATTTTTACACTGTCTAGTTGCATAGTTCTAAACTCACACAAACGGGAAATGTCCTTTCAGCATCTATCCTGACAAAACTCCTCAGGGCCTTATTTGTTTCAATAACATCATCTCTCATTCTGTAATGCTGCAATGCGTTTTGGCACAACTGCTCAACTTTCTTCATAAGACAATCTTTTCATCCCAGGAATCAGTTTAGTGATCCTTCTCTTTTCCAATGCATGTATTTTCTCCTTAAGAGGCCCAAACTACACAAAATATACCAGGTACAGTCTCACCAGTACCCTATTTAGTTGTACTTCCCTACTTTTATATCCCATGCTGTTTGCAACAGAGGCCAACATTCCATTCTTTCTCGTGCCAAAGAAATCGTATTGGACTCAAAACATTAACTCTGTTGTTCTCTCCACGGATGCTACCTGGCCTGCTAGGTTTCTCCATATTTTTCTGTTTTTATTTCAGATCTCCACCTCAGCAGTATTTTGTTTTTATTCCAGCATTCGATTTGCCTTCCCATTCATTTGTGCACCTGCATGCTAATATTTTGGACACCAAAATCCCTCTGTACAGCATTCTGCAATCTTGTTCCATTTAAATAATCTTGTACTGGACTTACCAAAGATTCACAAGAGGAAACATCTTTTCCATGACCACCATTCTCGTACCTCCATCTGTATCCCTTTGCAGACTCTTTGGCACTTCCTCAGAAAGTGCTTTCTGAATTATATTTGCAATGTCGGCAAATTTGACCGCAATACAGTCAGTGCCTTTATTCAAATAATTAATATACATTGTAAATAGTTGAGGACCCAACATTGATCTCTGGGGTACTTCACTAGTTGTAGTTTGCCAACCTCAAAACTTTACATGTGTCCCGATTGCTCATCTCCTGTTTGTTCTTCGGAACTGAAGGGGATTGGAAAATGATGGTTTTATGCTGTTGGCAAAGGAGGAGGAGGACTGAGTGGAACAGATGGTGAGGATGTCCAGAGCAAAAGTCAAGGGAGTGCTTATGGCAGCAGAGGAGTGATATAGTTGCAAAATATATGCTAAGGGTAAGTGTGAATAGTTGAAAATAGTTCAGCTTTGCTGAGAACACACCCATACAAATAAGACATTGGGTTGGGGAAGGGCTGTGGGGGCTAAACTACATTCTATGAAGTCATTGAACTTAGTGCTGAGTCCTCAAGGCTGAAACACAAACTGCCTGCAGGACTCAACACTTCAGAGATCAGCAACTTCAAAGCATAAACATTGTCTCCTATTTTCAACACATCCCTTCCCCACAGCCTCTACTGATTTTTCCCAATATTTTCTGTCTCTACTTTAGATCTCCAGCATCTGCAGTGCTTTGTTTTTATGCAAACATCTCAAGTTGAAATGAAGCTCAACTTGTATCCTATCTGGCTTTTGAGACTGAATTCCACAGCAGAATCTTGAAGGGAAGTATAACATAAAAGAGCAGTGCACACACCAGTGAGATTTCGGAAGGTGCTTTAGGTATCTATACTTGATGACTGGTGGAGTCTACCTTAATGCGATAAGACATTCAGAAAAAAACAAACATCTGAAACCACGATGACAGTGAGGACTGATATTTCATGCTAATAGCATGTTTTTTTTTCCCTGCAATCATAAGTACAGAGATTAATTTCTCTGCTGAAACAGTCCATGGGTGACTGCGATATATTCAAACACCCATTTATTTGCAGCATTGTGGGTGACAGCTTTAGTTCAGGCTGCACACCCGAGGTTTGAGCTGGTAATCAAAGTCAGTAGTTTTCAAATTGGGGTCCACAGACCCAACCTCACGTGTGGGCAACCAGGTAAGAGAAATCAAATAAGCTGTGATCAAAGACATGTTCCACTCCCAAATCACCACACTACCCTATGTGCTCCAAATCCCCCCCTGCACCCTTAGTACTCTCTCCGTGCTCTGGTCCCCCATTCCTCATGCTGCTATTCTCTCCCCACTTCCTTCTGTCCCTGCTCAAGTTATCATTATTCCATGGGCAGTTTTGATACCTTGCTATGTTTCATACATCGTTTCTAATAGTTGCAACAATAGAACATAGAACAGTACAGCACAGTACACGCCCTTCGGCCCATGATGTTGTGCCGAACTTTTACCCTAATCCTAAGGTCTATCTAACCTCCACCCCTACCTTATACTATCATTTATTTGCCTATCTAATAGCTGCTTAAATGCTCCTAATGAGGCCGACGCAACAATGACTGGCTTTTGAAATATAAAGCGCTATGGAATATCCTAGGAATGCAGAAGATACTATACAAATGCAGATCAAGGCAGTGTCAATGACAATTGCTACATTTCTACAACTAAGAATTCCTACCCTGAGTTTCAAACCTCACGCAACCTACTACTTTCAGCCAATGGACAGTGCCTCACCGAACAGTTAACACCATTACAAAGTAATGTTTCCAGTGCTATGTAACTTAAAGCTTCTCCAATTAATGAAACACAGCTCACACAATCAGAATAGAGTGACTTCTGAATTCCAAGTGCTAAACAATTACAGCCAAACTCATCTCAGAAACAAATAAACAAATATTATTCGTAAATTCTTCCCATGATTGCTTTCAATTTGCTGTTGCATCATTCCCTTTGCTCTCAATGAGGCTCTACTCTACATCCATTTCACAATTCCTTCATTTCTCTTGTTCCAGATTCATTTTTCTGACAAACTATAATTATGCTTTTGTCAAGCATTTGTCTTGACTGTATATACATATGTCACGCAAAAAGCTGACTGGTGCAGAATTACTTGCAGTCCCTTCAGCACGATGGACTGAGAAATAACATGTAGATATGTAAGCACAATAGAATGTTTATTCATGCATATTAATATGCTACAAGTAATAAATTAGAATAATCTTCTGCAGATAACCAAACACATTTTAGTTTTCTTTTGCAAATATTCAGGTCCACTAGAGTATGTTATTATAACTCTCTAATTGTGCCACCGTAATAGCCAATTGTTGCAGTAAAGATGCACAAATTTATTGTCTAAATCAACTGTATTTATTTTATGAGCTTTTGTGGAAACATTACCGCATTAGTAAACAAAGACTACCATGAAGGATGTTCTTTTAAGAACTGATTTCCATTTTTTGGGCTGGATACTAACTCATGAAGGGAACAAGGAGACTGGTTTCCCATTGGAAAACTGAGAAAAGGAGGGTTCCCAAAGATCCTGATGAACTTAACAGAAGAATTTGAATTTTAGCCTCTGCTTTCCAACTGCAGAGTAACTTAAGGGCAGGGAGGTCTCTGGGAGCACAGAGGCATCTGGAGACATGGGGGTAGGTACTTGGGGGTGGTGTGGCAGGGGAGATAAAATTCTAGGGCTCTGAGTCATCAAGAAATCGCAGAGGTAGGGAGGCAGAAGGTCAGGATCCACATCAAAGAAGGATCAGGGAGGCTAGAGCAGAGGGTGATGACGGAATGGGCCTGACAACTGTAAGAATTGTCAGGGTAAGGAGGTCAGGAAGGGTCTGGTGTCAGATTTAGACAGAAAGCCTCAGAGGAGATTGGAAGGGTGACAAGGAGCTTGACAGAGGTTGGCAAGGGGTTGTGAGCAGATTGTAAGGTTTGCAGAGATCATAAGAGTTATGAGGGTAGGTGTAACTGATGGTGTGGGGGAGGGTGTCAGGGGCATTTGGTGGGTCAGGTTGGTGTGGACAGGGGTGGGTTTGGAGATCTGGTGTGTTGGTGGGAGGGCAGGGGAGAGACAGTGGTTGGTGAAGCAGGTAAATTGGATTCAGTGGGAAAGGCACTTATCCCCAGGAACAAGCAATCTTTGCCTCCCTTTAACCAACAGATTTTCTGAGGCCTGGAAAGTTCTGCTGCTGGCCAAGGTTAATTTTATATGTACGTATTAATTATATATATGCTATCTTCTCCCCCTCATTGGGAGTAGATCTAATGTGAGGGAGGGGGGCATATTTTCTAATCAAACTGTTCAGAGATGTTATTACACACCTCTAGAGCAGGTGGGACTTGAACCGGGATCTCCCTTTCCAGGGGTTGCAACACTACCACTGTGCCCTAAGAGCTCTCCAAGGTTAACTTTAAAATAGTGGTTTCATATAAGGCCCGCAAATTCATTACAAGATTTCAATTGCCAATTGCCTTGCGAGAGAGGATTCATTGTCAATACAACTGACCCATCTTGTTTAGATGAGAAGTGGACTTGTTGGAGGGACTTTGGAAGCAGGATTCAGATGTTTAACTTTTCAACGTTCCACCCCAACTCATTTCTCTGTGGGGTTGAGGGGTATCTCTTTGTTTCTCTATTTGTGTTCATTAATTCCTCAACAAAACAAAGCTCAAGCTAACTAATGAAACAGAAAACCCACAGACTATTTCGCAGCTTTTCATATCAGAGCTGAAGGAAATAACACTTGTTCCACTCACCTTGACAGCACAGTAATCGAAAAAGCCAGTTTCTGAAAATATTGCCACCAAAATCATCTTTAAAAAAAAAGCACAATGAATGAAAAAACATTGGTTTCATCATTTGTCTTTCAATTCTATATTTTTACGCATATTTCTTGCAATTTTTCTTTGAAGTCATTTTTTTCCTAATTTGTACAGCACTGACCAGAAAGGTACAGGTACAGAAAATGGAAGCTAAAAATAACTGAGAGACAGCCAGAATGCTTTTTAATACACCAGCTTATGGATGGTAATCTCATCTGTCTGGTTTTAACTAACAGTAGTTCTTATACTGTGTTTGAAGATAGACAGGCAAAGTGACCTGCACACTATTCCATCTAGATATGAAATGCAGAAATCACTCTGTGCTCAGTACATTGATATAAAATCATTTTGGCTGGGGTTTTGCATTTCTGCACTCACCAGCTTATGATTTTCCTTTCAATTAGGAAATGTGGGCATGAATCAAGGGCTGCTGATGGCAGAAGGTAAGAATCTAAATCCCTTCAGTTTTAAAAGGGATGCTAGCATGTATTATGAGATAAAACAGCATGTTAAAAAATTGTATGGAAAATAACTTTAACTTGTTGCCAGCACGTTTTTGTTTAACCCTGACCTTAATCTTAATTTATCTGGACAAATGCCGAATTTCAAACAATCTCAATAATTATAACACAGCACAAAAGGGTGCTGATTGATTGGTAAAATTTATTGATTGGCCCAGGACGGACTAAGTATCAGGAACTATATGCTCTCCGGGCCCCTGGGTGATTGGAAAAGACGCAAAGCTGTTTTGCATATTCCTCTAGTTTGCAGTGAAAGGCCCGTGCATATGAATGTACATTGCTTCCAGCAATCTCAAACAAGTCATATTCCAATCTTGAATGGGTAACTTGAATTGGTTGTTAATCTAGTTATTAGCACATTCAGGATTTTTCAGCAAGTGCTGCCCAATCATAGAATCACATTCAACAGAAGACATTTTTATTGTGTTTTGTAAGCACGACTGATACAACACAGTCTCCCTCCAACACTGATTATGACTGAAAGGACTGCTGTTTTATTCTTTCAGCCAACCTTTGGGAATTATAGCTTATATACCTGGCATCACACTGGCACTGACATTCACGCACAATGTTGCTTAATTGCACAGTGGGCAGACTACCTTTCTAGATTGATGGCAGCATCCTGTTAGTGGGAATAGCATTTGCAGCCATGGCATAGTTATGGCATGAAATGGAAAGTAACTTTGTCCAAAGGCATTGAACATTAATTTGCCAATACCTGGTTTATGGTCAGTATTATGTTTAATTTTTACTTTCCTTCCTTTGCATATTTAGGCCCTGTATGTTAGCATCAGCTGTGGTTGACTTATCATAGGCAATTTGGCTGCTCCATCAGAAAAGTCATGGGGTCAAGCTCAAAGACTGAGACTTTAGTGCATTACTGAGGGGTTGCTGAACTTAAAAAAAAACATTTATCAGATGAGACATCAAACCTCAAATCATTCGGAAACATATTTAGTTTTAAGCTGGCGAACTAGGGAAGGATAGGTAAAATTAACAATGGATAAAGAGACTATACCTAAGATATTAATATTCCTATTATCTGTACAAATGGCAAAACAAAGCTTTTACAATCAATTGTTATTCTGCAACAGCAGTGTTACACTGGTGTGGAAAAGCAACATCCCTATGTTCATTATCAGTTACTTTCAGAGACAACAACCAGTCAAACACCCAACTAGAAGAACAAAGGGGCAGAGCCTTGTATTTAGATTGAAACCCTTCAAAGCTAATGCCAGGGTACTTTCATGTAATGTGGAAGTCTGGAAATCTCTCACCTAAAGATCATTTAGAGTAGGCCAATTGAAAATTTCAAAACTGAGTTTGATAGATTTTTGTTAGATAAAGGCATTAAAGGTATGGAAGGAAGTGGAGAGACAGAATTAAGAGGCTGCTTAGCCCTGATTTAACTGAATGATCGAACAGGCCAAATGTCCTACCAATAATCCTATATTTCTATCATAATGAAAACTTGGATTGCTAAACATGGAACATACATGTTTTACAGTGAGACATCTTAAGTTAGTGCCAAGGTTGGAATACTTACATAAAATGAGGTTCATTTCCAAAAAAACATTATTTGTGAATGACTATTCTAAATATCCAAGAAGGGCTAATATGGTGAAGAAAGCATTTGCAGAAGATTCAATTTCAAAGTCAGTATGATGAATGCTACAATTTCCTGTTCCAATTACACTAATCTTGTTTAAGATGACAAATAATCCATTAATATGACAGCTTGCTGCAGCTTTGTAAACAGACTGGGTAATTAGACTTAAGTATTCTTTTAGATACATTGCTGCAGATTTTACAGTTACAATGATGGCAAAATTGTAAACGTTCACCATCATTCCAACAGTGAAACTTTAAGCAATTTCTGACATTTGCACTTAAGTGCAGTTAGTGGAAATCCAGATGTGTTGGTTTGTAATTCCTGTTCCTCCACAGGCAATTATCAATGCCTTTGCAGATCAAACGGTTAAAAATCGCTCAGTTGACTCAAACTTCCACTTTTACACAATTATTCTCTTCATAAGATCTTCCATGTCTAGAAGAACTTGCATCTTATTGAATGAACTGCAACTGTGCTCCCAACAGTGTGCTATGTTCATAATTATTATTGCAGAGCTGCTCTGGTCCTGAAAAACTGATTTTGTACGTAGAGAATTTCAATTGTTACCAATAAGATCAAAGAAACTATTTTTTTTTAAATGATCAAGAATATTTTCAAAAGCTCTCTTATGATATTTCAGCACTTAAGTTAATCCCATGTGTAAATCCCAATCTTGAACCTGCTGGCCATAAAATGTTAAAAAAAATTTGTGAAGGATAATGAATGGCCTTTCTGCTTTTCTATCTGTTAACATTCTTCAGTGTGATTGGCTGTTTACCCTGCTCAATGAAATCATGGCTGCAGAATTGCTTTGCCACTGGTTGTAGAATCTGACATTTAATATTTAACTAAGTTGGATGGTTATACTTCTGATAACAGACTGGAACAAGTCAGTTTTCTTTAACTGACATTTCGTTAAGTGGTCTAACTACCAACCAATCTTTATCCACAAAGGAGACACAAAGTGTGCATATTAGTTATCTTGCTTACAGGTCTTAGGCCTGAGGTAAATTGCAAAATGAGAGAATTGAATCTATAGCCAGTGCTCTGGACTTGGGCTAATAAAATAGCAATGGGCCTGTAAACAGCTGAGTAGGACTGGCACAGTGAACTATTCCAAGACATTCCACTGGAGCATGTTATAATCTGTTTATGTTTTATTAAACAAATGTTTCAAAACAAGCCTCCACTCATATAGAATTTTCAGGAAATTACTGTCAGTTTGAGATATGGTGAGGTTAATTTCTTTAGTGACCAACTTTTGCTATTCCATGGACATAAACCCTAATGACTGTAGGTCCCATTGTGCTTTTACAGCAAAAAAAGTGAATTTGTGTGAGTGCCCCTAGACTTTTATTTTAAGGAAGGAAGGAACCCACTTAAAATAACAGCTCTGTTCTAAGAAATGAACCAAAACATTTCCAACAAATATGCTAAAGCATTCGGTGCAAGCACTGCACAAAAGTAATGGTAGTTTTTATTCATTTAACATCTTTAATGTGATAAAAAGGCAACATGCTCCTTTGCAAAGCAGTAACAGACAAAACTTGGCTCGGAGCCACATGGAGATATATTAAGTCAGGTGCATAACAACTTGCTCAAAGGAGTAGGTTTAGGGAGTGACTTAAAGAAAGAAAGTGAGGCAGAGAGGGCAGACTTTAAAACCAGAACAGTTGAATTCAGGGTGATGAAGAGGCCAGATTTCGCAGAACACAGAGCCCCCATACCATATTAAAGCTGAAAGCGGTTACAGAGATAGGCATGGGTGAGGTTACGGGAGGATTTGAGCTCAAAGAGGAGAATGTTAAAATTGAAGGGTGTTAATATGTCAATAAGCACAGGCATAATTTGCAAACCCTTGGTGTCAAGGCCTGATGGCATGGGTCCTTGGATTTGCAGAGGCTGTGCATGGTGGGAATGTCTAGAATAGTAATCCAGAGTGCCAGGCTCATGTTCTGGGGATTTGCGTCACAGTTGATGAAACTTGAATTCAGTCAGAAATTTGGAATTAAAAGCTAATCTAATGATGACCATGTAACCACTGTTGATTGTTGTAACTCCCAATGTGGTTCATGAATATCCTTTTGAAAAGGAAATCTGCCATTCTTACCTGATCTGGCCAACATGTGACTCCAGACCTACTACACCCTTGGTTGGCTCTTAACTGCCCTCTGAAATGGTCTAGCAAGCCATTCAGTTTCAAGGCATTAAATCTCCATATCCCATGAATGATTCAAAACACAAAAAGTAGCCATCCATCAGCCTTTAGTTGAATCTGAGTACAACCAGAAGAATTACATGCTACCACCAAAACAATATTTCTCTCCTTATTGTGACTGGTTTTATATTCCAGAAAGACAGTTAGTGACAAATAGTATCAGAGCCAATCCTTACTAAATTGTATATTTATTTACAGAGTGAAAGTTTGCAAGCATCCACCTCCAAACTTAACCCAACACCTTGAATAAGTGCCTCTGTATATGCAAAACCTCAACTAATGCCCACCACCAACATATAATTAAACACGTGTCAGGGCAGCACGGTGGATCAGTGGTTAGCACTGCTGCCTCACAACACCAGGGAGGTGGGTTCGATTCCACCCTAGGCAACTGTGTGTGGAGTTTGCATATTCTCCCTGTGTCTGCGTGGGTTTCCTCCTGGAACTCCAGTTTCCTCCCACAGTCCAAAGATGCACAGGTTAGGTGGATCAGCCATGCTAAATTGCCCATTGTGTCCACAGATGTGCAGGCTATGTGGGTTAGCCATGGGAAATGAGGGGTTATAGGGACAGGTTAGGGGGAGTGGGTCTGGGTGGGATGGTCTTTGGAGGGTCAGTGTAGGCTTGATGAGCTGAATGGCCTGTTTCCATGCTGTAGGGATTCTATTGGGGCAGCACAGTGGCTCACAGCGCCACGGACCCAGGTTCGATTCCACCCTTGGGTGACTCTCTGTGTGGAGTTTGCACATTCTCCGTGTGTCTGCGTGGGTTTCCTCCCGGAACTCTGGTTTCCTCCCACAGTTCAAAGATGCGCAGGCCAGGTGGATTGGCCTTACTGAACTGGCCACGTTAAATTGTCCATAGTGTTCAGGGTGCAGATTAGGTGGATTATAGAGGGTGGGATGCTGTGAGGGTGTGGACTTGTATAAAAATTCTATAAAAGGAAAAATACATCTAAAAGATAATAAAAGGTCATTCATAACTGAAAGGGGAGGATGAACAGAAGTGGCTCAAACCCTGGAGAAGTGCTGGATTGTTACAATGATCTTCAGAACTCAAAGTGCTGTACTCTGAACTTTTGGATGCTGCCTGTTTTCAATGTAAACAAAATGCCTTGCAACACCCGCGAACTCACATCTCACTTTCTGCGAGTGAAGCACATGACTTTGCAAATTCTGGTGTTGCTCAGCCAAAACAAATCAATTTCTGACACCAATGTTTGACACAAGCGTTGAAATGTTTTGCAAAACTGGCAGACGGCGAGATTAAAATTAAGCATTAAAGTCTGCTCCGCAGTTAAACTGCTTGAAAAAGATAACATTTTAAAAGAGAGAAAACCATGTATGCATGAATAAAATAACCCCAGTTAAAATGACTTTAATTACCATTCCAAACAGTAATGCCAGTGTTTCATAGTCAATCCACTCCACAACTGTAACCATGCTTGGTCTCTGCAATCAAAAATATAACATTCACAGTTAACCCCATGGATCTAGTTAAACAGTTTAATTGTAGTATAGGCTCTACTTTCTTCTGTTTTCCCATTCTTTTCAGATGCAAGTCAACCTTTACATTTTTCTGTTATTAAACACCAAAATAAAAGGCATAATTTGTTAAAACCAAGTCAGGCTTGTTGGATAAATTATTCACTTTCTGTCAGAGGCTGTGTTAGTATTGACAAGTGAAAAGATGGCAGAAATCCTTCAAAATATTGGCAAAGTCTCAAGTTGAGTTCCCACCTTCCACATGACTGAATCAGAGAAGCATAGAACAACACAGCCCACAGGAAGCCTATTCAGTTGGTCATGCCAATGCCAGATACAATCCAATTTATCCCATTCCCCTACTGAAAACAAAGCACTGCGGATGCTGGGATTATGAAATTAGAACAAAGTGCTCTAGAAACCTAGCAGCTTTGGCAGCATCTGTGGAGAGAGAAAAACAGAGAGCTAAATCTTATGTGTTTTTGGCTAAGTCTGAGCAGAGTTAAAGTTTCTCGGAGTGTTTTCACCACAAGGCCTTGCAAGTTTTCTCACCTTAAAGTCTGCTCCGCAGTTAAACTGCTTGAAAGAGATAGCATTTTAAAAGAGAGAAAACCATGTATGCATGAATAAAATAACCGCAGTTAAAATGACTTTAATTACCATTCCAAACAGTAATGCCAGTGTTTCATAGTCAATCCACTCCATAACTACAGCGGCCCTCACGTTCGATTTCCATCCCATTTTAACATGGACCATTCCCATAGATACTTGCCACTCCACAGATACCCAATGGAAAAGCAACATCAGTGTGCTCTGCGCATATCCAAAAGCCCGTTGCATATTCCAAAAATGCCCAAGGCAAAGACCGAATCTGAACATGGCGGAGAGAGGAAGATGGCACTGTGAATCTCCAATGGGGACCTGGAGGTCCTTGTGCATGGAGTGGTCCAGAACACTAATAGCCTTTCCAGTAGGATTGGCAAAGGAGGCAGTTGGTTTTTTGAGTCTTTTCCCTATTTTCTCCAACCCCAAAACTATATAATGGCTCAGCCATTTCCATAATCGGAGACAGCTGAATGATCCAGTTTGGAAAAAGTATTGAGAAGTGACCAGCAGTCCAAGGAATGGGTCTTTGATATTCAATTGGGAGAAATGAATTGGATTCCTTATCCTCCATCTCTCATTTTCCTGCATTATTCAGAGTCTGGGCCAAACTGAAGATCCAAACACCATGTTGTTATACTTAATTAGCTAACTGAAGTTGGCCTGAAGGAGATAAAACACAGTTTCATTAATCAGAGGAGTTGGCAGATCAGAGAAGCTGCCGAGCTAGATTTACTTGGTGGAGTCCAGGACTGAGGAACTTCAGCTATTTGGGGAGATGGAGAAGTCGGATTTGTTCAGTGTAAAGGTCTTTGGCATTCTGACACTTTGAGATAGAGTAAATCAGAAGAGGCTATTTTGACTGGAAGAAGGGTCAGTAACCAAAGGATGTAGATCTGAAAAAAATTGGCAGATGTTTCAGTGGGGAGATGAGGAAAATATATGTTATGAGGCAAACTGCTTGGAAGGCAATGGAAGTGAATTCAATCATCAATTTTAAGAGAAAATTGTATATGTGACCATAGGACATAAGATGTAGGAATAGAAGCAGGCCATTTAGCCCATCAGCCTTATTCTGCCATTGAAAGAGAGAATGTTTAATAGTTTAATAATTCTCAATTCCGTGTTTCTGTCTTTTAACAAAAATCCTTGATTCCCTTTATTGCCCATTTTTCTCTTACCCAGGAATTAAATTCAATTTGCTAGACAGTCTTCAATTCAATTTTTGTTTGGTATAGCGACTACATCAAAATATTCTCTGGCTCAAACATATTGCACAAACTGTTGTTTAACCTGTACACAGCTCTGCGAGAAGCCATAAGAAAGGGTATGCAGACAGAGAATAATACTACAGAATTTCAAAATTCAGTAAGTGTACTACAACTAATGTTTGTAAGGAGTGGGGTTACGGGTCTAGACCCGAAACGTCAGCTTTCCTGCTCCTCTGATGCTGCTTGGCCTGCTGTGTTCATCCAGCTCTACACCTTGTTATCTCTTACTGTTTGTAAGTAACATTCACTTATACCCAAAATTTTCTCCTGGGATAATTTTACTGCTTTATGCTTTGTTAAATCATTTTTAAATTAGATACCTTCTTCATCAAATAGCAGTGAGGATGTTAGATGGAAGTTGCAACATTTGCCCACGATGAACCTAATTTCATTCATTGTGGAGCCAGTTAGCACAGTTGGCTTAGGTGTCTCATGTGTAGTTCAGAAAAGCAGCAATAACACAGGTTTGAATTCCATTTTGGCTGAAATAGACTTGAGACCTGCCTCTTCATCCTTTCCCAATCGTGGAAGACAACAGCAAACCATTGGTTACACAAATTGGCCAAGAGAAATGGCTCAGGATGGAGCTAGTGTCAGCACACAATGAGGTGAGGACATGTATTCATATCGTACAGTCAAGATTCCATAAAAAAGCACTTGAGATGTATTAGGAATGAGGATGACACTTACATCACCAATCACAGCCAAGGCAGCCAAAGCTGCCAGGGATCCCAACATAGCAGCCAAAGATCGGTGCACAATCTGAAATCACAGCACACAAAAAAAATGCAGAATTAATCAATCTAACACAACAACAAGATTCTTTAGATCTCCTTATTTAAGAGTGGAAGTACGGTGCAATCCAAAGAATGGGAAAATATGTTTCAAATCAATGTTTTATAGACTAGGTAACATTAATTTATGGTCCCTTCAGTCCGTTTCTGACAGAGTTAGTTTAAACAAGAGAAATGACTAAATTGTCTAGGAAATTATGAACGGGCACTTTAAGCTGTACCACCCATTCATAATATCAGTTATTCAATTCAAATGATACATACAAGACAAAACTTGAGTAATTAACTTTAGCATTTAGTGATTCAGCCACTTGCTATGCACATCTTTGGATTTTCATTTGTAGTGGCATCATTTGAAGGGTAATTAAGTGAAGTAAAGGATCTGGGCTATGGATTCAAAGTCAATTCATACATTATTTTCCAAAATCAAAATTACCCCAGGGTGTCTCTCCTTGAAGCCTCAAAACAGGACGCAAAAAACATAGAACAGAGCATCACATGGCTGAGATGGTACATATATTTCTCCGATTAGTACATAAGAATAGAGGATCTCCTAGCTAGATGGAGGACAGAATATGGAAGTACATCAAACTGCAGGGATCCCTAGCAAGATTTCCCTCAAGTCAGCAGTAACTCTATTGGCTGGATCACGTGAGCAACTGGCCCCACACCCCCAAAGACATGCTTTATGATTCACTTGCTACTGGCACAAGACAACATGCTGCCCACATCAGTGATAAAATCATGTCTACAAACAAGACCTCAAGTTGACCAGGATTATAGTTGATGCGTGGGAAGTCCATGCTGCCGCCCAAAGTGCCTGAAGACAATCTGTCAGAAAGATTATGGACAAAGCAGAGGTCGAAAGAAATGACCAGATGGAGGAAAAGAAAGCCAACCAGAAGGGGGGAAAGAATAACGAATTTGGGGCCAATGCTACTCATCAGTGACCGCCACTTGCTAATCAGTTTCTACAACCTCAGCAGACAATGTTCAAATGCAGACGGGACATACACCTGAGGTGGAAGGACAATTTAGGAGGGCATACCATAACCTTCTCACTTTACATTTTACAAACTTACTACATTTTCCACAAGCTCTTATCAAGGCTAATAAGCGCTGGGAGCCTAAGAGTGGAAAACTGTGCTTTGCTCAAATACTTTTGGATTAACAGTTCTTTATCACTTGCAAAGTTATGATGGACTATTAAACAACCTCGAGAGTTTGGATTCTTTGGCTTAATAACCTAATCCTTATTCTGCCTTGCTCCTTAAACTGCACTTTTTTCAGACAGTTCTGATGCAGGAGTCAGACTGAACCAATCACCCACATGCCTCTTTCTAAATGATCCTCTCTGTGTTTTCTGTACTCACGGCTGTTTCCACCCCTTCCTTTTGGCTGCATGTTAGTTGGCGTCAGTGCATTGGGTGAGAAAGCCTTGGAACTCATTTTAACTGATGGGCGTCCCTCTATTACACATGCTGAAAGCTGTTCAAATGGAGAGTTTGAATATTTAAAGGGAAAAATGGAAATGGAAATGCAGACAGCAGTAATGTATTCTGATTGTCTTTTTTGTACCAGAATTGGCACAGACATCAAACTATCAAACTGCCAAGGGAAACTAGCATAGCAATACCAGAATTTAGTCTTCCTAAATAGAGTAGTACATCAATAAATTGTAATGGAACTACCGGAGTTACTCCAGAGTATTAGGAGAACAAAGAATATAAAAGGCATGCAGAAAGGGCAGACAAGAGGGTTTAGCATGGTCTTGTTAATTAAACAGCTAGCTCCAGCAGAGGATTAACAGATTGAGTGGCCTGATGCTGTGCTGTAAATTCTTTGATTCCATGAGTGTAGATCTGCCAAGTGCCTCCAATTAAAGTGAATTGTAATCACCGTCCAGGGCTTTCCTCAGTGCTGATCCTTTGTCCATTGGCATAAATTCATAAGAAATACAGCGGAATACCTGTCCACAAACACATCAGGGCTTTCCATTGCTCAGCCAGTGAAACCATGATGGCCAAGAGGGAGCAGTTGTTGGAGGAGCAGCCAAGCTGTTCTGATTTTTAAAAAGTGGCCTAATTTTATTACTTTAAACAAACTCTGCTCCAGCGGTTCACAGAGACAATAAATACAGCTGGGAGAGCTCGAATGGTCTCACACTGTGTGGTAGAAATCTATGATTCATTCACCCTTGGTTTGCACTGATTTAGCAGCACCTCCATTTACTTTTCCATGTCCTGGAATCCTACACTTAGAGAAAGAAAGGGGGAGGTTTTGGGGAGAAACTGCATGCAAGCAGCTGGCCAGAAGGACATGTTGGTTGACTGCTCAGAGGTCCTGCCAGGAGGTCGAACCCACCTTGACACTAGGCCTCAGTTGTAACAGGCTGCAGCTGAAACCAGGGTCAGTGAAAATTACATCCCTGGGGTTGCACTCAATTGGCAGCGAGTGGGAATTAGATTAACAGGTGCCAAGGTCGGTTTTGTGTTCTACTTATGTTTGTTCCAACCTGACAAGAAATGAAGAGCTTTTGGATTTGGGTGGTACGGTGGTTCAGTGGTTAGCACTGCTGCCTCACAGCGCAAGAGACCTGGGTCCGATTCCACCCTGGGGCAACTGTCTGTGTGGAGTTTGCACATTCTCCCTGTGTCTGCGTGGGTTTCCTCCGGGTGCTCCGGTTTCCTCCCACAGTCCAAAGATGTGCAGGCCAGGTGGATTGGCCATGCTAAATTGCCCATTGTGTTCAGGGGTACGTAGATTAGCTGGGTTATAGGAGAATGGGTCTAGGTGGGATGCTCTGAGGGCTAGCATGGATTTGTTGGGCCAACGGGCCTGTTTCCACACTGTAGGGATTCTATGATTATGGCCCAGCCACCAGCTAAAATTATGTCTGTGTGCAGCTATATTCCCAGTCTACATACTGGCCGATGATTAAACTGGGAACCAACTAAATGCAGTAGAGAACAACACTCTGCATTTTACTCACTAATCTGTGGCATAGGATCAGAGACAAAATCTTATTAAAAGATTCCAATCATGTTCCCGGAGCGTTTGCAGAGAATTACTGGCACAACATTGACGGTGGACCTTTTTCCTTTAATTACCTCAGACTGCAACAGCAGTCACCTGTAAATAATTTTACTGTTTAAAGATTAAAGAAGACATGTTTTCCTAAGAGCCTCATTAGCAACAATAAGTGTGTTCCTCTCACAACTCAAACATATTTCAGGGTGGTGTGTTAGTGTTATCTCTCTTGACAATTGTCTTATTGTGGTAGTCTTAGAATCCGTTGGGTGCTCTACAGCACTTGAGAGGGATTGCTGAGCCCTAAAGTCTTCTTAAGATCACTGTTTAATTATCATTCTAATGAAATAGTTATTCTCTTAGATTTATTTGCATCTCTCTTCAGTGTCACTTCCATGTAATCTTTTATATCACTTTACACTTTCAGATTGGAGTGTTAACCTTTCACACTACAACTCTACTCGAACCTCTGCCAAAATTCTCTGTCTCACGAGGATAAACTTTTGGTGTGTTCACCAATCTCCCAATTCTCAATTATAATTCCCTCAGAAGTGGCTGAGGATCTATATTGTCCAAGTTTTCCAGGCCATTCTCTGAATCATTAACTACATACGAAAGTACAACAGTAGGAGTAAGCCACTTCTGTTTCTGATTCTGTTCTGCCATTTAGTAGGAATATTAATATCAGATTGTACCGCAGCTCAACATTCCAACCTTCTCCTGACAACTTGCTTCTCAAAAATCCATCCACCTCTGCCTTAAAAATATTTTTTGAGGAAGAGGCTTCCACAGACTTCAAACTCTAAGGAAAAATTCTCCTCACCTGTCTCATTTCCCACAAGAGGAAACATCGTCGTCTATCTACCCAGTCAAGGTCTCTCAAGATATTAAAAGTTTCAACAAAGTTACCTCTTACTCCTGTAAACTCCAGTGGCTACAAGCCCAGCTTTTCTAAAATTTCCACTGAAGACTAGCTGCCCACTCCAGCTATTAGTCTGGTAAACTTTTGTGGATCTGCCTCTAATGTATTTATGTCCTTTCTTAACTTAGGAGGCCAATACAGTTCACAGAACACCAGATGTGGTCTCACCAGTGCCTCTCACCATTTCGATGGTGTCGTCAGAGGGATCAGAGAATGTCAGCTCTCCGTTTCTATTATCACCCGCGACATAGGGTTTGCCAGTCCAGCCCATTAATGGTTTTCTTGCCATCAGAAATAAGGTGCTCCTGTTTCGTCTTCTTCCACACCCATAGCCCCCCTCCCCCAACACCCCACCAAGAACAGGAAATGTCTATTGTCAGGAAGAAAAGTGAACATTAATCATAATACTGACCATAAACCAGGTGTTAGCAAGTTAATGTTCAATGCCTTTGGAAACATAGAAAGTAGGAGCAGGAGTAGGCCATTCGGCCCTTTGAGCCTACACCACCATTCAATATGATCATGGCTGATTTATGCAAGCTGACTCCTGCTTTCTCTCCATACCCCTTGATCCTTTTAGCTGCAAGGACCACATCCAGCTCCCTCCTTAATAAATCTAACAAACTAGCTCCAATAGCTTTCTGTGGTAGAAGTCCGTAGGTTCACAACTCTTTGAGTGAAGAAATTCTTACTCCTCTAATGTTCTGAATGGCTTACTCCTTATTCTTAGACTGTAATCCCTAGTTCTGGACTTCTCCAACATCAGGAACATTCTTCCTACAATTAGCCTGTCCAGTCCCATCCAGGTATACATATGTTTTGATGAGATCAGCCTCTCTTTCTTCTAAATTCCAGTAAATACAAGCCCAGTCGATCCAGTTTTTCTTCGTATGTCATTGTACAAATGAATTTCCATCCCTTTCTTCATCATTTTACTGAGCTGGTCTAACTTCCTATAATTTTCTCGCCCTTGCAGGAAAATCCATGGAAGACAAGGAGGTGAAGGCTCAGCTGTT